GTGGTCACACTCGGACCCGGGACCCTCTGGCACGCTGCACTGATCTTGCTCAAGCAAAATGGGACCCTCTGGCACGCTGCACTGATCGTAAAATTCAAAACGACCTGTGGGGACTGGATTGCCTCGGCTCTCAAACCCGTTGAAAATGTTATCAAGACAATCGCTCAAGCCATCCGAACACTCGAAGCGCTCAACTCCCGAAATTGTCAAGACATCTGAAACTGGATATCCCAAGCCAAGGTGGCTGGCACGCATTGCATCAAGAAAATCAAAATCTGAAAATTCTGAAATCCCTCTCGGCATGCAACCTGTGGGGCACTGGATTGCCTTGGCTCTCAAACCCGGCTCGGCTATAACGGCACGCACATGGCCGCCTGCAAACCAGCTTGACGTGTCACCAAGGTCAAAGACCTGCACACGGCGAACGGCTGTGGTTGCCGTGCTCGATGCTGCAGCCTGGCTTGCACTGTCTGACGGCTGCACCTCAGAAACCTGATTGACACGGCCTTTCTCATGCTTTTGCTTAAGCCAGCAATCCTTCTCCAAGTGACCCTTGCGCTCACAGTAACGGCAGGTGCGAGTCTCAGTTGCAGGAGGCGGACCTTTGGGAGTGTTGCCGCCTTTGCCCTTGCCTTTTGGCTTGCCTTGGTTCTTACCACCTTTACCGCCTTGTGGCTTGCCACCATGACCTTTGCCTTTTGGCTTGCCTTTGCCTTTGTCACCTTTGCCCTTAGGCTTGCCCTTATTCCATGCGACACGATCAATCTCCATGGGCGCGGGACCGCCTGAGGACGAAGATGCAATGCCAAACGTGCTGGCAATCGAAGTGCTCCACTTTGTCTGGGAAGTGTCCCAGCGCTCAATCAAATTCCGAAGATCCTGATACGTGGAGCTTTCTGTGATCAAGACGGTGGCCTGGGTCCTGAGTTGTCCGGACAGACATCGGAGAACGGCGGCCAAACGATTGTCGTCTGACATGCTAGTGCCAGTCAAGCCTTCATATTCATTCACCGCACTCTCGAAGCGGGTGAGTTGGGTCATAAGGCCGGTCCGGTTGTCAAATGCGGGCCACGAGTGTATTGCTTGCAACAACGCCAAAATGCGATTGCGCGAACTCGGCATTAAATCTTGACTGAGGATTCTATATGCCTCAAACCCGTTTGCATCTGTCAAGGATTTCAAGACTCGCTTGCCTTTGTCATGCAAGAGCCCGGCTAATACACCGTAAAGAAGTCGGGACCTGTCTGCTTCAGCTTCAGTCAAGGATGCAAGTGCAATCGGATTGGCAGGCCTACGACGAATTGTCTGAAGCTCCACGCCAAATGCTCGATCAAGACAAGACAGGTACTGTTCCAACTCCCAAGACCAATTAGCCCACAGTGAAAGCTCTGCATCCCGGTCCTTGGGACGGAAAGGCTCAGGAGCCTTGAGGACCTTTGCAAGGTCGCGCCCTCGGATCGCCTGCTCCCTAGGCGCTGCAGTGTTGTTGGACACAAGGGTTGTCAGATTTTCCAACACTTGCATCAACCGCTCCTCATTCGGCGGTGCTCTGCTTACAGCAGACGCTGGGGAAAACGGGTTCCCAGGAGGCACAAATGCCCCAGCAGGAGCTCCAAGCTCCTCATCACTATCATCGGCACCCACTGCGGCAGCAGCCGCATCAGCATATATCTCTGCCATTATTTCTAATCAAGGTCAATGGTGCAATCGGAACCTTCGCGGTGCAATGGAACACGAAACGCAGCTGAAGAACTTGCTTGATCAGGCGTTGATTGCTCAAGATCAATGATTTCCGAACTCCCACAAGAAGAAACCTGAGGAAAACCACCTAGACTAGCGACAAGGGACCTTTCAAAGTCCGGCGCCTCGGTCTGGGCGTGCACAAAGGATTCTTGCACTGAAAACGGTATGCAATTGGCAGTACAGATAGCAGCTCCCTCGCAAAAGAACTTCTCCTTCCACTCCTTCTCTCTCAAACACTTGCTTGCAAATTTGTAAAGCTCAGGCACAGTGTGAAATGATTGGGCTCTGGCTTCGCACGCGGCAAAGCTGGTACGCAAAATGCGCACAAAGGACTCCCTGCTTCTACCCTCGGGCTGAGGTCTCGCCCAAAGCTGCTCCTCGTACACAGACAAGAGAAGCTCACGCAGCAACTCCACTCCTGCTAAGGTTGTCGTGATTTATTGTTCAAGCAAACAAAGCTCGCGGCAGCTATGGCTCGTCCGGTCGGCGCCGGGATTGCGAAGCTACGGCACTACAGCCTAAGTTCACCGAAATCACGCAACACACTCAGAGGAACGCTGCCACAGCCTAACAGCCTGGGCCCCTGAACTCAAGCCCACAAGAAGTCCACGTGTCCCGAAGCTGGGTCGGCCCAGCTCCGCTACCATGAACAAACTTCGGACTTTTGCAAGTACTCTGAGCCTGAAAGTCACGACGATCACACATGCTTCGCATGCTCTCCGAGAAAACTACACGAGTGGTCAAAAGCTACCAAAACTGTTCTAGCAAAATAAGAGTACAGGGCATAGGGGAAAATGTTGATCACATTCGGCAGCACGAACTTGATATACATGTTCTACAGCTGAGACTACACAAAAAAACCCTACCTTGAGAAGGAAACAGCTCACCAAAGCAGCAACTGGTTTAAGGTTTGGGGTAATGCTGGGACTTTGAAGTTTAGATAAGAATAGCAAGCAACAACTTCGCTAAAAGAATTAGCTAACTATGATATTTGGGATCTGGGCATGACTGTGGCGAGTATCATTTTTTCACAGCTTCACAAAGCTCCAAGGTTGAGGTTGTGAGAAGTGACAGAACTCGCAACGCTGTGTAGCCTCCCAAGGGCTGCCGCACAAGATTTCACCTTGGTGATGCTCTTGGCTGGCAGGCACCCTCCCGCAAACGGCAGCACAACCGCTTCAAACTCTCTTCACTTGCTCGGGGTGCTTTTGAAAGAAGTACAAAGCCGCAGCACTGACATTGCTATCTGATAGCAATGTCAGTTCAACGCACTCTCACCTAGTCACTAGTCCTAGTCATGGTGGCTGATCTAGCCGAGTCAAGTCAAGAGTCAAGACTGCAGCACTATAGCCGTAGCCCATGCATCCAAAAACACAAAACGTTTCTGCCAATTAGCACACTGCACCCAAAGCTGCTCACATACTATGCTACCAAGCTGCGTGCAAACTAGCTGCATTCGCTGCTGGTAACACAGTTCATCTTGAGCACGGCTGAATCAACAAAATCAATGCTTTAGGACACCATGTTGCATGAAAATTTGAATGGTAGCCATGCCGTACAAAAAGCTGAACAGATCCAGAGGAAACATCCCCTAGATTGAGTGTAGGCCTGGGCTGTGGAAAAAAAATTGTTGTAATGCTTTGTTCTTCTATCTTGACTCGACATGAGAAAAGCACGGCCAACATTCTGCAGGCTCACCTGTGGAAATGAAACGCTGCATGGCCGGGCAAAGTAAATCGTGGTAAGGGCCAGCAAGATCAATCAGCCGCAATTATTGGAATTTCGATAACTGGATAGCAGCACTGCTCCCTCGGCAATTGCGACGGATGCCGGATCGGATGGCCGTGACATGACTGCGACTGTGACGAACATTACGAAATCAAAAGCTACGACCATCGCTGTAGCCGCAGCAATGCTACCGGACATTGACGTATCACGCGCGATTCTAAATTTGTTGCATTGGCCACCTTCGCTTAAGCTCAGGCTCAAGCACTAGGACTTAGGCATGTGCTGCAACGGTGCAGGCATAGCGATGTAGTGATGGCAGCACACGGCAAGCCGAAGGATTCGGATTTTGTGCACACCCATGCAGCACCGCCAAAGATCGCGGGTTGTATATTAGAGACATGTAGTCATGTAGTGTAGCCACATCAAATCCTGGCCAACATGGAACATAGAGTCACACATGTGATTGTCACGTGTCACACCTAACTCCAGAGTCTGAATACAGAGAAGTCAGTGTATATTGCAAGGAAGACCAGTGTTGCATCATGTTGGCTAATGTGGGTAGTGAATAGCGAATGGCAAGAAATACCGAGCGAGAACTATTGCAACTGCTAATAAATGCTAGTAATTATAGATCCGGTCATCCATGACAATCACATATTTGAATCAAGTATAGATACCTCGATCAAATATCTCCACTTCAAATCATATAAAGAATTGTCGACCACATATGTTGGTCCGATTCGAATATATACAGGTGATAAGAAATTGATGCAGAACGCTCACACTTGTTTTCACGGCACAGCCGAGAGTCATGGGGAGTTTTCACGGAAAACACAAGTGCACAACGTGTGCACCGGGCACTAAGAGTGCCCCTCCACCTAAGTCGAGGCACCAGGCGTGCCAAGCGATCCAGTCGCACTGTGGAGTGCAACGTGACCACCAATCTCCCCCCAGGGCGGGTGGGCGGGATCAAAATTTTCTGGCTCGAACTCGAGACAGCTTCAGTGGTCACTGATTCGATCATGAGCAAGTGGACGTGCACTGACACTGAAGTAAAATCGTCGCTTGCTCGGAGAAATGAAATCGCTAGGAGTAGCGCAAAGATTGTCATGGCCCAAAATTTTGTTGCTTACAAAATTTCGTTTGACCTAGGATCTATAAAACATCGACACGCCCGCGTGAAAAGATGCTTATAGATCCGGTCATCCATGACAATCACATATTTGAATCAAGTATAAATACCTCGATCAAATATCTCCACTTCAAATCATATAAAGAATTGTCGACCACATATGTTGGTCCGATTCGAATATATACAGGTGATAAGAAATTGATGCAGAACGCTCACACTTGTTTTCACGGCACAGCCGAGAGTCATGGGGAGTTTTCACGGAAAACACAAGTGCACAACGTGTGCACCGGGCACTAAGAGCGCCCCTCCACCTAAGTCGAGGCACCAGGCGTGCCAAGCGATCCAGTCGCACTTTGGAGTGCAACGTGACCACCAATCTCCCCCTCTCGACTATGTGTTATGTTGCATCAAGCGCCTCACCAGCGACAAAGCAAGTCGGCGCGTCACGAGCAAAAGGTCCGAGGAATGCCAGCTCGTCCCATCTGCCTCGCGAAGGTGGGTCCGCGATGTTACTCCGACTCGGGACACGATGAAACCAGGGCAAACAAGGCCGTGCTTCATCGGCAGCCTCCAGGTGGAGGAGCAGGCTTCTCCACGATGCATCGATCGAGTTCGAGTTGATGCAAGCACTCAACACACCCGAATGGTCAACGAAAAATATGCATCTTTCGCCGTCGATGTAACTCGACCACAAGATCCTGGCGAGCACCACCGCGTAAAGCTCGACCTGCCCTATAATGTGTTTCCTACCTTCGGCCCATTGCCTGACGAGCTTGGTTGGAACCCTGCAGCCGAAAGCCCTAGCTACCCCCTTGCCGGGAATAAAGAGGACCCCTCCAACACCTGTGGTGAAGCCGCCCTCACACGGGTCGCATGCGCCATCTGTGAAGACAAGAACTGGATTCGAAGGTGGGCTCGTAGCAATGGCTCGCGGCCTGCTCGCAAGAAGTCTCGCCCTCAAGACAGCCAAGGCGTTCGATTGCGAATCGGTCAACTGCAAGACACCACCTTTGTCACCAAGGAGCCTGAGGTCAGCCAGGGCCAAACGCCCCGTGCGGCCGAGCAGCTGAGCATCTGCAAAGCGAAGTTTGCCAAGAAGGGAGGGCAACTCCCTCGTGTCTACCTGGCCTTGTTCAAGGATGCGGCCTATGGACTCCTCGAGCATGGCAGCCCGTTCAGGCTTGTTCGATACGAAGATGCGCCCCATGTCGGGATCCGACGTATCGAGCACAACACCCAAAGTTTCTGCAGTGCAAGAGAACGGCTTCTCTTTCTCGGACAAGGAGAAGCCGAACAAGTCCATGAGGGCATGAACTGCATTGTCCGTCCCGCCCGACAAGAACGAGGGTGTCATGGTCGGGAAATCGTCGTAGTAGCAAGTCACAGCTACCCTCAAATCCCAAAGAACCCTTTGCAGAAACAATGCCACCCGGTTAAACTGCATGACTGAAGCCGAAGCCCCGAAAGGAAGAGTGTTGCACACAAAGGCTTTTACAGCGCGGGAGCCAGGCTCCCTGAGCAGGATAATGGATTTCGGCCTCTCGCCTGGGTGCAATGCTAGTTGCTTGTACGCTGCCTGAAGGTCATAAGTCTTGCAGTGAGGACGGACGCGGTCGGGGTCCTTCCACGCAGTATGGAGAGGTCCCTTGAGTCTCTCACCCGAGCTGAGCTCCAGATCGAGGGAGCCCGATGATTTTGCCGCACGGCAAACCTGCATGCACAGCCAACATATCTCATCAAGGGCTTTAAGAGTGACACGTTCAAAGCATCCGAAGCAAGAGTTCACCGCAGCTTCCAAGAAGTCATCGATGGCACGCCATTTGCCCTGCCAGACTGCAAAACGCCGGCAGGCGTTCCAGCCTTCGGGGAAGGTGTCCCCCAGAGAGTCAACATCGATCGGGCCGTCAAGCCAGCACTTCCCGGATCTGTTTGACTCCTCAAGCGTCATGTTCCAGAGCTCCTCGGCATAATCATGGTCCTTCTGAGCCCTGACTTTAATTCTCAAGAAGAGTTTCCCTTCGAAGGGGAGCACTTGCCCAGAATTCGTCAAGGTCCATCGTGGCAGGCTTAACATCGCTCGCGAAGACCCCCGTACGTCCTAAGTACCCCGTTAGCTTAAAGCCGGCAGCAAGGTCATCGAAGAGAGTCGTGTCAGGCCACGACAAGTCGGCGGCAACCCTCTTCATGAGCGCAATACGTTTACACCCGAGGACCTTCCGCACACAAGGGTCCATAGCCGACCTGATTTTCTCTTCCTCGGGCTCAAGCTGCTTGGCGAGGGCACGCCAATGCTGTAGCTTCAGAAGGCGGTGCCTCATCGTGTCGACCGGGCTCTTCGTAAGGGTGTCGAACAAGACTCGCAAAAGTTCATCGGGAAGTGATCTGGCGGAATCAAAGGGATGCACAACTAACTTTGCCTCGTTCAAGAAAGCTTGCATGGATCGATACACGCCGAAAATGTAGAACTTATTGCCCTCTGGGAGTCGCGAACCTCCCCGTTCAACTGACTCCCGGAGGAGCTTGGCACCTGCAGGGACGCCATGCCAGGCAGTCGAAAGGCAATGCTTGGAATTGAGAGTGGGAGCCTCAGCACTGCCAACCGAGACGGTGTAAGCAAATTCAGAAATGATCGGCGGGAACTTGCGGCCACGAGGTTGCACCTGACCTGCGGCGCGTGCAGCAGAGACCTTGGAAACACTTAGGCGTTCTGGCGCAATGCCTCGTGAAGCGGCCGACTTATCCACGCATGCGACGATCCTTTCGCAAAGAAGCTTGGGATAGCCTGTCTCTTCAGCAGTGGCAAAAGAGCGGCCCTGCTTGCCCCATGGTAGATGAGAGGAGCAACCTGGACAGGGTCCGGAAAGGCAGTGTAAAAGCTCAGAGTTTGTGAGAAGGGCTGTGGCCTTCTTGCGTTGTGACCCGTGGAGGCACGAGTCAAATGTGACGAAGGAGTGCTTTGAAACCAGCTCGGCCCACTTCGGAAGCTGCCAAAGGTAGCTATGCAACGGGTTCTCAACCGAGAAAGGGACATGCGGCATGGCATGAAACAGCCAGTCACAGAAGGCCACCATGTTGTCATATATAGTGTTGGCACTGTCCACCCGGGCCTGCTCCACCGGTGGAAGGCCGGGGAGCCCACGCACGTGGCGAAGTGAACGCAGTGGCTTGGGGCCGGGCCCGCATTCCCGAGCTCTGCTGGCAGTACCGCATGGAGGAGCCATGTGGACCCAGGCGACGTTGTACTCTGAGCAAATGCGTCGTAGGAAAGACCACGTGCTGTCAAGGCGCAATTCAAGCTGCAAAGTGTGCACACACGTCCGTTGTTTGTTGTGATGCCAATCGATTGGCACGGCCGTGTATCCGGCCTCCTTGGCAACATAAGAAAGCATAGCGGACCCACTGCAAATTTCCAAGAACAAAGGTTTCTCATGCCGGGGAGGCTGCACGGCATGAGCTTGCGATTTCAAGCGTTTACAAGACGGGTCGGCAGGTGAGGCGACCCAGAAGTGGCAGTGGCACACGGCAAGGCATTCTGAAGAGGCGGCCGCTCTACAGGGAGCTGTTGTGCCGCAGCAGAAGGTGCACACGGAAAGCCCAATGGGAGCAGCGCCGTAGGTTGCCCACCTGAAAGAGTGTAGAGTGTGACGACCTACCTGTCGCCTGTGTATGGCATAGTCTTATGCCACAAGTTGCATGGAAAGCTAGTGGGGCGGCAGAACGTGTCTACTATCTTGCCTCTGATCTGCTTGTCGCCTGGAACAGTAGCCTCAGAAGTGCCCGATGCATCCTCAAGCCAGAGCTGGCCGCCTGCGAAGGTGCCAAGCGAGAAGGTGTGGTTCAGTGAGCCCTGTTGGTTACCCGAATCTCTGTGAAAATCCGATAAGGTGTTCCTGCCTATACAGATTGCATTCCAGGACACTTGGGGCAGAAGCCCCTTGATGGCTGCATTCAGTTGCTGGACAAAAGCCTGCATGGCCAGCGTGGCATGTGTCAAATGCTGCGGGCTGCTGGCTCTCGACTGCGTGGGATTCGCTGAAGAGACAGACTTGCGTTGCAACACAGAGTCGGGCCACTGAGCACCCTGAAGCAACTGCAAAAGTGAAGAAAACTTGCTTGCATCCATACTAGCACTCTGCTGACACGGATCAAGACCTGATAAAGGAGAATTATTCGGCACAGGCGGGGCCTGCGACGATGCAAAACTTTGCCCAGCCAAGCCTGGGCTAGCTCGACTCTGAGTCGAGCGCTGCGAGCTGCCGGGCTCGCTCTTCGACTGTCACTCTTGCTTTTGGCCAAGAGCCTCAGCACGTATTGGACAGTCCAATGCAGGGTGCGACTTGCCGCACTTAGGCCATGCGCAGATGTGCAATCCGCGCACGCACCGACCACGAGTCACAGTTTCCCTGCACGTTTTGAGTCCATACCCAAAACATATGTTTTCACCAGCATTGGTGCAGGATCTGCAGCCTGACAGAGCGGCAGGGACTTTCCCGCCACCTTTGGTGGCCTTGGCACCCTTTCCAGTGCCCTTTCGGCCCTTGCCTGGACGATCATACAAGCCTGGCCCGTGCGGTCTCGGCGGTGGTGCCACCTGCTGTGAGACTGAAGCGCCTGCTGCCCGAGGCATCGGCTGGAGCAGATGAAGTACCTCGGGTGTCTGCCACGTGGTTTCGAAGATGAGTGGTCGCCCACCAGCTTTGAGCTGGATGCCCGAGCGCGTTGCTTCTCCGAGAAGCTGCCAAAGCTTTCTGTCAGCCTGCTGACACTGATCGAGAGTAGGCTGCATGTGCGTCGACGGAGGGGCGTCGAGGCGCGCCGCAAGAAGGCGCTCGACCCACGTGTGATGATGATGGTAGTCAAGGATGTTCGCCATTTCCATAGCGATGCCGCGCCTCTGAAGCGCGAGCTGCAATAGCAGCTCCGTGCTCGTGTCAGCACGGACCTCGACCTTGGTCTCCGACCTGAGCTTGCCAGTACTGTCAAGCGAGAAGAAAGGCTCTCGCTTTGCACCAGTTGAGGCCTCTTGTTCTTTGGAAACAAGCTTCTCCCACGGGACAAACTGCAGCTTGTCCTGCTCATACTGAGACACGAAGGAGTCGACGAGGCTATCAGCAGGCTCAAGACGATTCTTGATGGAAAGGCCCACAAGTCGTTTGCTCACGACCTCGAACCTCTCAGATCTCTCTGGGACGCTCAATTTCCTCGGGATGGATTCGTCCGTCCGCTCCACAAGCATCTTCATTTCCGAAGTGGTAACAGCATATGCTTCATGAAATAACCTTCGGAAGGAGCTTTTCTGCCCCACAGAGGGCGGCGTCCCGAGGGTCGACTCAAATGCCGCGATGAGGTCCTTGTCATCGCCGGAGCCCGGCGTGTAGCTCGTCATGAAAGCGACCTTTGCGAGTGAATTCACACCCACCTTCTCGAGTCTTTCGACATCCGCAGATGCCAAACCGACCTGGGCACATCGTGGTTTAAACACCGGCCCCGACTCGGAGAAGGCCGCCATGGTGAGCTGCTTGGATCACTAGGAGCTGAAAGCAGCTGCAGGAGGGCTTTGTTCCTCATCGAATCACTCCTCTTGCAGGACACGACCCCCTCCAGATCTCTCCGCTCTTGCACGATAAACCTAATCACAGCACTTGACCGGCTTACGGAATGCACGTGCACGGCATCACATTTTTGCACAAAATTGGCAGACACGAGCCGGATGCAGAGTCATGTGCCCTGCTGCACAATCAAGTACCTCCTGAAGCACTGCTTGCACCTTGGATGCAAAATTGCGGGTCGCGCCTCCAGCTTCCTGTACTGACCCGAAATGGCCCTACCGCAGCCTAGGTTGGCACCGGCTTCGTCGGCAGTGATGTGCACTACCCTGGATTGGCGATGTCGAAAGAAAACACACGAGGGATCAATCTTGTCAAGATCGACCTTTCCATGCCAGTTCAAAGCCTCAGCAACACAAGCTTCGTCGCGTGAGTGGTCGATCTCCTCCTCATCTTCGGAGCCCTCAGAGTCTGACGACTCGATCTCATCGCCAGGGGGATCGGCATTCGCCGACAGCTCGGAAGCAAGTTGCTGCCCCCTTGGTTTGTCAGGCTTGAAGGTCCCGGACGAGACCTCGTCGATCATAGATGACAAAGCCCTGAGCGGAGCCGACTGGGCATCGGACTCATAGATCAGCTCTGATCCCGCACCCGAGGCTCGGGACGTATGATACCCCAAGAGGGCCCTCTGTTCTCTGGGCAGACCACGCTTGCTTGCCCAGCTGAGCAAAGTTCTCTTAAGGCTATGTGTCCCTACATTCGCAAGGTAGGGATCGCTCTGAGCGTTCCCCAGCAGGCTCCTGAGCCACGAGCACGCCTGATCGCACGGAAGCGGGATCATCTTCCACGAACCATTCGAAGAAGGGCAGGGGAGCAACGGGTCGTTCTGCCTGATCGCAAGACCTGCTTCAGCCACAGCCTCAAGCCAAGCATCGGCCCATGCACGCTTGATGCCCACCTTCCTGGCAGCCATCGGCAGGTACCTGGTCTTGCGTTCCAAAGTGAAACTCGTCTTGGACCTGCCCACATTGCACTCCAAGTAGAGCGGCGAGTCAGTCAGCGATGCTACATTTTGCCCGTCACTGTATCTAGCTGCTAGCTCTTGCATAAATCAAGAAAGAAAGAAACCTGCAGCGATGCAGTCCTGCAAAGACCTGTCTTCAAGCTTGCAACAAATCCTTTCAAGAAAAATGACATCGGAGACCCTCAGAGGATTCCGTTGCTTGAGCTTCCTTTCTGCATGTAAAGCTTCGACGCAAGGCCGCGGACGCGACCCGAATTGTAAACCTTGTCACACCCTTCCAGGCCCACCACATGCTGAGCGAAAGCAACGGAAGAAAGAAGGCTCCTGAACGATGTTGCCGCTGCTGTTGACTTCTTCTCCTCGAAGTATGCATAGACAGCGTGCTCGGTCAAGGGAAAAACAAACGGCATGTTCCCCTTTGCCCAAGAAACAAACCGCAACAAGCAATTTGCCCTGGCATTGATCGTCGAAGTGGCCTTGGCAGCAAGGCAATCCGAAATGCTGTCTCTGCAAGTGATCCCGAAGAGATCCCCGACGCCTTGCCGGCGTAGAAGTTCCTAGCAACACAGAAGGTCAAGGGCTCAACCATGACCAGGCTGAGCCACTTATTCACGGCAAGATTTCTTTCCTCGTTGATCATAACTTCCCATGAAGTGTGTTTGAACTTGGCCATCTTAGCACACACCTGTTCAAGCCCCTCCGACCTGACGAAGCGAGGGATCGGCACGGCCGGCTGATCAGCAGAAGGGCTCACTGGGACTACAAGGGGGAGAGGTCCAAGAGGAGGCGGCAGGCGGGGCCTAGGGTCAAAAGCAACGAGTGCACCGTTCCAAGGGGTCTTCCAAATAGACCTCGAGTCTCTAAGGCACGACCTCAGGTGAAGCCCATAGCTCGAAGAAAGGGAGCTGTTCTCATCATCCCCCATTTTACTACAGCTCACAGAAAGCCAGTGCAGGCCCAAACTCTGCAGAAGCGCGCGCAGGCGCAAGCAGAACTCAAATGAAGCGGCGAAACAGATGCCGCAAATGTGCAATGAAAGTTTCAAGCCAGGAGATACGAGCGGCTGAGCTTGCTGCCTGCCTGTCCAACCAATCTAAGCGATCCTCGGCCACGCGGACACGAGACTCAAGGAGGTCGTGCGAAATCTGCAAGCGATAAAGATGGCTGGACAAAGCCTCAAAACTCGAGAGGCTGCTAGGGTGCTCGGACGCCTCGGACGCAGCGAGACCTGCCGGAGCGGCCTCTTCCATCCGACTGCCCCACCAGGGCAGTCTTGCACGGTGCTCTAAGAGCAACACCGAGGTACAGAGGACTCAGACCTGTTAGACAGAATTACAGGCCTCTAGAGAGCCCAGATCAAAATTTTCTGGCTCGAACTCGAGACAGCTTCAGTGGTCACTGATTCGATCATGAGCAAGTGGACGTGCACTGACACTGAAGTAAAATCGTCGCTTGCTCGGAGAAATGAAATCGTGAAACAACTGTTGAAAGCTGTAAAAGTTTGATTCTAAAGCACTACTAGGAGTAGCGCAAAGATTGTCATGGCCCAAAATTTTGTTGCTTACAAAATTTCGTTTGACCTAGGATCTATAAAACATCGACACGCCCGCGTGAAAAGATGCAATTTGAGTAACCCTGAATAAAGACTACTATAAGGCTTATAAGGGAGATCGCATAAAAGATCCATCCTACTTATGTTGCATGTTTGGGACCCATTTTATTTGCTTTCTTTCTGCATTTTGAATTGTTTACCGGGTCAGGCCCATAAGGTAGGTCAGGGCCACTCAATGCTATCAGATGGCAAAGCGGCAAGGAAAAGATCTCGAGGAATCCTCGCAAAGAAAATCATCTACGCTGCCCCCACAACATCCTTCGTTGCGGAAGGGGCAGCTGCAGCTGCAGCATCCTGACTGCCGGAAATCCAGTTCAGGAGCCTGCCAGTGCGCAAACCAATCAGCTCTGGATAATCCGCAATTCGTGCGGTCAGCAGGCCAACGGATGACTTGTCATCGCTGGCCCTCAGCTTCAGGACCCGGCAGCCATGGGTGACGTCCTGGGCCATCTGACAGTAGCAGTGGCCGGCTGGGATGCCCAGGGCTTTGCCCGGGGACAGATGAACAATCCAGCCTTTTTTCTGGCAGATATTCAGGAACTCCTTTGGGTCCGTGGCCAGGGTCATATCACAGAAAGCTTTGAAGCCGTCTTTCATCATCGTGGTATTGATCTGGAATCCGCAGCACACAGATGTGCCCTCCAAGCACATCTTGAACTCAGTCAAGGCATAGTCTGTTGTGAAGTAGATCTTGCTGGTTTTTTTCCCCATGCTCCAAAACATTGGCGAAAACACCTCTTTCAAATCACCGTCTGTGGTGACATCCTTGATGTGCTTGGATGCATTGCCAAGGCAGCTCATCCAATCCTTGTTGAGCCTGGTGCAAAGCTGCGGTTTGGCGACCACGTTGGTTGACAGCTCGGGGCCGCTGCCTTTCTTCCAGCTTTCGGCCAGCCAGGTCTTCTGCTGCTCGTAGTACGGCAACTCCAGCCACTCCTGCAACAGCTGCTGGTTCTGGGCTGCAGCCAGAACCAGGGCAAAGGCCTGGTTCTCCTTCTCAACCCAGTCGGCAGCGGCAAACATCACGCCCTGATCCTCATCGATGTTCTCCACTGCTTGGGTCCAGAAGAGGTTCGACAGGGCCTCGCCAAGTGGGGAGTTGCTGCCGGGAGGCAGGCAGGTTACCTGTCTTCTGGCTCTTGGCTGCCTTGTTTGCCAAGGAAACTGACAGTCGCTTCTTTTTGTTGCAGCCCTTCTTGTACTCGGCACACCAGGCCCTGATGTCCGTCAGGTTGTCCTTCACCTTTTTCACCGCATCTCTTGATGCGAACGTCTTCACAAAGGCCGAAACATCCATGAAGTACTGGTGCCACTTCTCGGCGGCCTCGTCGGAGGTGTCCGAAGGGTTGCTTTCCAAAGCAGTTGTCCATTTCCTGGGCTCGGCAAACTACAAGAATAATAGACTAGGTATTTCCCAAACTATCAAACACCTTGATAAGGACTCTAATCTGCTGTTTCCCAAACTATCAAACACCTTGATAAGGGCTCTATTCTGCTGTTTCCCAAACTATCAAAAGCTCTGAGAAGGACTCTATTCTGCTGTTTCCCAAACTATCAAAAGCTCTGGGAAGGACTCTATTCTGCTGTTTCCCAAACTATGAAAAGCTCTGAGAAGGACTCTATTCTGCTGCTTCCCAAATTATCAAAAGCTCTGAGAAGGACTCTATTCTGCTGTTTCCCAAACTATCAAAAGCTCTGGGAAGGACGCTATTCTGCTGTTTCCCAAACTATCAAAAGCTCTGGGAAGGACTCTATTCTGCTGTGGCCCAAATTTTCAAAAGCCCTGGAAAGGACTCTATTAGTCTGAGAAGGACCCTATTCTGCTGTTTCCCAAACACTCAAGAGGTCTGGGAAGGACTCTATTCTGCTGTTTCCCAAACTATCAAAAGCTCTGAGAAGGACTCTATTGTGCTGTTTCCCAAACTATCATAAGCTCTGGGAAGGACTCTATTCTGCTGTTTCCCAAAATATCAAAAGGTCTGAGAAGGACTCTATTCTGCTGTTTCCCAAACTATCAAAAGCTCTGGGAAGGACTCTATTCTGCTGTTTCCCAAACTATCAAAAGCTCTGAGAAAGACTCTGTTCTAGAATGCACAGCCAAGATGCTCGATCGTTTCCTCCAAGTACTGCTCGGCACCCTTGTAGATCTCCTCGAAGTTGTCCGTCCTTGTCTTCATCTCGGCCATGGTGGTGGGGTCGTTCTCGGACATCTGCTCGATCTCCAGCTTGAGGGTCTTGAGAGCTGTCTTGAAACGACTCAAACTCGCTTCACAACTCGACCTCGCCCTGCCAATGCAGTTCTCGAACTGGAGCTTCTCCAAAGCGGCCGAGGAGATCTTGGGCTTCTGGGAGAGGAGTTGTCGCCTTTTCTCCTCAATCTTCTCGGCCTCCTCGTACAGCTGTTGCTCAGCCAGCATCCTCTGTTTGCTCGTCGCCTCCATGTCTGCTTGGATCTGAAGCAGAGGGGTCTCTCTGTGGACCCCGGAGGCATCTGAGCTCATGCGGTCTGCACGCAGCAACGTCTCTCCCCTTTGCAGTCGCATGTCCGCTTGGGTGCCGAAGGCCTCCAAGTCCTCGGAGTTGTGAAGATCGCACCTCTGCTTGAGGCCTGCTGTGATGCTGTGGCGGCTGCCATCTCTGTCTTCCAGGCCGGTCCACACACGCAGCAGGACCTCGCCATTCACAGTCTTCGTCTGGCTGGTCGGCTTGTCCAGCTCCCGCTTCCAACGCGTGGGGAGCTCCTCGGGCGAGCAACCGGTCACCAACCTTTCTGTTGCGGCCCAGTCTCGGAATCTGGTCCACCGGGCCACGTCATCGCTGCCGCTGCGCCGGCTGCGATTCTCCTCCACGATTCCGACGCCGGATTCAAACGTGCGCTTTTTGTTGCTGAATCCTTCAGCTTCTCTTTTCGCTTTCTGCTTCCTGTACCACTCGGCTCTGTCCTCCTCGCTCATCTTGGCCACTTCGCTTTTGACCTTTTCGGCCTTGATTCTCATTTCTTGCTCTGCCGGGGTTTCGTCAGCCCCCTTAGCCTTGGTCTTGCAAGACCTCTGCAAGGACTTGTCAGTTGCTGCACAACCTGTACACACACGCCTCAGGGCATTCCGCCCTGATGCATGGGAGTTCTCCAGCAACACAGGGTCCCTGCACTTCTGACACACAAGCTGTGTCTCAGACATCGCTCGGTGTCGGCAGAAAAACGAAGAGTACTCTCGTGGCGAGGCAGGCAAACTCGGCTCTGCCCGGGCTTCCTAAAAGAAGCAAGCTGAAAAGCAAAACGGCTGGAGACATGATATGAAAACTACCATCATGGAGTGGCTGCTACTTCCTTCCCCAAAGTTCTCTCTCTCCCTCTCTCTGTCTCTCTCTTTCTAGCTCCTGCTGATGTCGTGGCACTTTCTTTTCCTTGGTCCACGCCTTCTCGGTGCAGGGTGCTACAGAAAAGTGTCGTCGGACCCACTAATTATGGTGGATGTAGCCCTGGTAAACTATCTGCAAAGGGATGACAGCAATACAAACATTATGAACAGAACACTGGCCACATCCCTAGCTGCTAGTGCATATCAAATTATCTTGCACTTTGTGCAATCTAATTGATTTATGCAAGGACATCACAAGGTCTTGAGTGCCCATTCGATGGTTGCCATCATTTTTTGTCTTTTTCTTGGTGGTGAAACAACAGCTGGCTTGGTGCTGGGTGCATCACGAACTTCTGAAAAACAAAGACTGCTGAGCTCAAGTCGAGACAAGCGAGGCTGCCGAACACCTCGCCACAACTTCCCAGCGACTACAGCAGCACGCAGGAGTGGGGCCAACATTATGCTGGCCTGCAAAACGTTGAAACAGTTGCCTGCTGCCTGCAGAACATGTTGCTTGCTTTTGAAATGCTGGAGAAGATTTGGGCTGTGACCTTGAAGGATGAGCCTTTCTTCTGGCAGCACATAACGATGAAACTCCATCTGGCTGCTGGGCAGATGGATGTCTGCAGTGGACAGCACAAACAATAGAGGCCCCTGTGTTCGCAGACTGGGCACCCGGTCTTTGTGGACTCTCCCTCCGACGGCCCGCAAGGGGCATCTGTCCAACTCGACAACAGCAAGGTCGAACTCGTGCTTTCGCCTCTCTTCTGCAACTGCCTGGATGTAAAGCTTGAGGTTGGCAGCTTGAGTTGCAGTCATGCTGTCTGTGGTGTCATTAGCTTTACCTGGCAGGAGCAAGCTTCGGAGGGTGGGAGGTTGGATTCCGGCAGTCTCCCAGGGCTGACGCAGCACGGCAGGAAGCTTGCCATCTTCTGACAGGCAATCTTTTCTCAATCCTCTTACCCATAACCTTTCGCGATGCATAGGCCAAACTGAACCCAAGTCGTGTTTAACGAAATCGATTTCAAACCATGGGATGCAAAGCCGCAGTCGCTCCAAGGTGTCACCAAGAAAACGTGAGCCTATCATGGCCGAACTGTTTTCCGAAAGGAAAAACGTCAGGCTTCCTCTATGTGCAAAATGAATGATCATTTCCACTGTCTGTTCCCACACTTCGCACCTTGCATCTGCTTGCTGAAATCGCAACCCGCACGTGGCCCAAGGTTGGCAGGGAGGCCCAGCGATCAGCCCCTCAGGCTCCTGTTGCAAGGAAGCAACGTCGACCTTCAAAATGTCGCCATGCATGCCCAAGTTGAGCTGATCTGCTTGATGCCCCAAACAATCTCTCCAAAAATGGGCAAGGCCTATATTTTCATAAACAACTGTTGGCTCCCAGGGCACGCCCACGGAGGAACACAAAGACCTATAACCACTGATGCCACAACATGGCTCTGCCACCACAACAGCCCTTTCCAGAAACTGCAAGGGCTGCAGTATTGTTCGCAGCAGCAATGTTAGCGAACTTGCCATGTTTGAGCCGGCATACACCAAAACGGCTGCCGACGTTGAGATCCGAGCTTTGTGCTTGAAAGTTGTTTGTGGATTTGGGTTTTGGTGGCTTTGGGCTTTGGGGTGTGCTGATCTGCTATGGGGATTGCAAAAACCTGAACCTTGAGGCTGAAAGGCAGTCGCTTTTTTCCGCACAGCACTGGGCTTCAAAGCCCGGTTCACTTTAAAGCAAAATCGTGCACTGTGGCACGCAGAACATGTTGCTATCCTTGTGGATAAGTATCCACAAGCAGCCTGAGCCAACACCTTCACTCAGTCTGTGTGTCTTCGGTGTCGGGGTTTCTTGGGATCATGGCCGCTTCAAAACTTTCCACAATGCCGTGGACGGAATTCACGCTGGTGACACAATCGGTCACAATCCCTTTAAAGCTGCTCATCTTTCTGTTGAGTGCCGCATTCTGTGACCAGAGATTCCTGTTGTTTTCTTGCAGTGCCAATATTGTGGCATCCTTCTGGTTTATCTCGCTTTGAAGTGCGAGGTTGTGTCAGACCTCGCTCGCTTCAAAGCTGCCTCTGTCATTTCCTTGCTTTTGTCTGCAGCAAGGGCCCGCTTCCTGTCTTCGTGCACTGCTTGGACGAGCTCCAGTGCTTCGCTTCTTGTTAGGGGATACTCGGTTTTGCGAGTGGTGTCCGGGTCTTCAAAAAACTGGCGAAGGCCTCGCTTGAACTTAATTACCGGGTCGTTGGTCGCAGGCCTTGCTGGCATTGCACTTGCTGCTGTTGTGGGCTCTGTTGGCCTTGCTGGCATTGCACCTGGTGCTGTTGTGGCCTCTTTGGCCGCTGCACACACAGGTGTTGCCGGATCTGATGGCATTGCTACGACGCTACGACACAAAATCGCAAACAATCAAAAGTTGTTGCTTGCTGCAAGCCAAAAACACTGCAGTATAGCTGGAAACATAGAAAACACGACATGAACCACATATTCAGTGCAAACATGCCATGGATCACATATGGAGCTGCTTCGGGTCCCTTCGGGTGCTGATTTCACGCTGCCCGCCTCTGAAAATGCCCGAAAAAACAAGTTTCGCATGTGAAGGGGACTGTGAAAGGCCGTTGGAGGGGAAGAGCCGGGAGGGACAGCGGAGGAACAGTGGAGGGACAGCGGGAGCGACAGTGGGAGCGACAGCGGGAGCGACGGGAGCGACGGGAGGGACAGCGGGAGCGACAATCGGAGCGACAACAATCCAACGGGAGCGACAGCGGAGGGACAGTGGAGCGACAGTGGAGGGACAGTGGGAGGGACAGTGGACAACCCAAGAAGAACCCATGACCAAAAACGTGCTTCAAAGCCCAATTCTGGCCTAAAGGCCCTAATGTTCAACAAAATTCCGCCAAATCTGTGTGAGAACTATCTTTGCCCTTGTAAAACCAAGCAACGCCGAAACTTTGTGCACGCAAAGGCCTAAATGAAGCCCTTTACCTCCCACAACCCAGGCCCACGCCCTTCAAGTCAGTTTTTTTTCTTGGAAGACCCGAAGATCTCTGTGCCTCTCCAGTGCAGCGGCGCAAGCCAAGGAATTGTGTCCTGAAACATAACAAAGTGCCGTCTGTGTGAGAAATACGTACATACTGCATAAACCACATCCTGAAACATAGCAAAACACTGCCTAAGTTCACAAAAGACAACATCACTGACACAATTCCTCAGTGCACAAAACGCACCCCTTGGGCAGGACCGCTAGGGCCGCTAGGGTGCCTCAGCTAGGCAGCTAGGGCTAGGCCAAGGTCTGCCACAAGAGTGGCACCCGAATGCATCCATGCATTGGGCTCTGCCACAAGATTGGCACCCCAATACCTCCAAAGCTGGCTGTGGAGGCACGGTCACCGTGCCACCTGGGCCACCGTGCCCGGCGCTCGGGCCCACCAGCGGACTAGCGGCCGCTTGGTGACGACCCTGCTTTGGCATTGGATATCCCTCACCAAACTTGCCATACTCTGAAGGAAGTTCGCAAGAAGCTCCGTCCGCCTGCCCCGGCCAGAGCTCGTGGCAGACCCGGAAGCTTGGCTGTCCGGCGCCGCCGCTGGGCCGCGATCGTGTCTGGGCCGGGTGCAACGTATCCCTGCCTTTGTAGACGGGGTCGGCTGCCTGTTTCTTTCTTGGCTGCCGCTTGGGCTGGCGCGGTTCGCCACCTTGGCCTTGCCTCATCATCACCTGGCTTATGCTTTCCTCTGGCCCAAGAACAGAGGAGGCCACCACTTCCGCCTCTGGCACCTCCTGTGGTTGGGCCGGTTGGGGCAGTTAGGGGTGGGCTCCCGTAGCTTCCCAGCACGCGCCCGATTACCTCAAGCGTTTTATCCCTATACCCCCCCCTACGCTTCCCAAAAATCCTTCCTAAAATCCCTAATTCTAACCTCCTCGCCTCAAGCATTTTCCTAATATAGTCTATTTAAAAGTCCTTGTTGAAACCTTGAGCCCTGAAAACCTGAAAGTGATTGTGTGAATGTGATGTAGCCGTGTTGGTTCGAGATAGTTGAGCTGCTTGACTTCCTCGTTTGGCAATGTCGAGCGATCGTCATTCGTTGAATTACCCCGATGAGTTGTTCCCTTTGGTTCATCGAACCATGGCGTGTGGCAATGCTTCCGAGATTTCCAATCTTATCGATCTGCTGCGCCACAAGAGGACTGAATTGTTGTTGTGTATCGACAGCTTAGAGGTTGTGCTCGATGAGACGAAGAAGAAGGAGAAGGGCACGGAAGTGGACGAAGCGACGAAACAAGCTACAATGGCATCTGAGAGCATGACCTTTCAGTGAAAGAGTTTCACCCACGGCAGAGCAAACCTTGTTGTGAGCACTGACGAATAAAATGTGAGCAGCTACATACATGATGTGTTGCTGCATGAAATTTGCTTGAGCTGAGCATGTGTTTATGACCGCAGCCGTTTTCTCTTTTGCTTCAGCGATCACTCTTTTGCGACCCCTCTGTCTCTTCTGTTCCTTGGCAGTGGCTTGGACAAAAGAAGTAATGTTGGCGTCTGTTCTTTTTTAATTCGCCTTATAATTCGTCAATGTCAAGGTCATGTCGTTTTCCTTGTATGTGAAGTGCCTTGCGGGAAACACGGTCATCGAGCTCGACCCCGCAATACCTATAGGGGCAGTCTCGGAGTTCATCGCGGGTCATATGAACTTTCCGGTAGATGACCAGATCTTCGAAGTCCGGTCGCACCTCCTCGACTCCTCGACATGCTGACCTCAGAAAGCGAACCTGAGGAAGATGTCGGGGATAAGGGGAGTGTGGCTTTTGATGATGGCCAGACCCGCCAGATCATTGAGCAGGTGGGCGGTGGAAAACGCGGGCGTGCCTCTCAAAAAAGCGAAGGTGGCATGTCCGAAGTCTTCAAGTGTATGTGAAAATGTTTTGAATCCTCAAAGACGCCTGCGGAGTATAGCGCAATCACAATGTGAAACACATGAGTGCATGAAATACGATAAAGCAAATCATGATAAATTGCATGGGGTTTCCTAGGAGGCAAAATAATAAACACCCCGCCTACGAAGCTTCATTGAGCTCGCGGGTTGAAGTCTTCGGCATAATCAAGTTTGCCTCACCCCTTTCAGAACAACAGCTTGCTTAGTTCAGTATCGCACTCGACCTACAGACGACTTTTCATGTGCACTGCCTCAAAAGGTCATTGGCTCAATACTATGCTCAACTACGTAGAACTGTACATCTACGACTAGGTTACACCGTCTCTGAGGGCGTGCATCGCCCACGAGACGATAGCTTGACTCACCCAAGCGTAGGCGATTCAAGTGGGCTCCATGCAGCTCTGGGCTGCCCCACCACGACAAAGCATGATTCCTGAGGAATCAGCACCAAGTATTGGGATGCCTAGTTGCATCGAGTGGCTCGTGAGCCTACTCCTGTGGACTCGCAGCTGCTCCACAGCTGCCAAAGGTGTTGGTAAGTGAATCAAGATTGACAGCAAAATGCTGTTTCCAAAGTCCTGTCAGTTTCTGCTCAAACACAAGACTATGTACAGTCGTCGTTGCCACAGCAGCCTTTGTACAAGAATCCAACCGATCAGTGCACTGCTCGAAGCAGCGCACTCAAGGATTGGCGCATCAAGAGCATTATACCAAGTCAGCCACCGTAACACACTTTGCATGGCCTAAAGGCCTCGGCGCACTGCTTCTCCACGTGTAAGGCGCTCAAGTGCTTTAGCACACTTCAAGTTGCCGCAACTTCGGCGACCATGGTATGCATAGCCACGTGACTTGGTCACCCACACGATCTGCTGATCAAGCTCATCTCTGATGCGCTGCTCAAGTACAGGTGTATGTGCGACTGCTGGGTTCGGTGCTTTCGGCTGCACCGCAGGTCCATTGGATGATCTTGCATCGGGGTCGGGAACATCATGGTCATCAGCAGCTCGGCTGCTGCTGCTGGCGGCTCGGCCACCGCTTTGCTCAAGCACACTTGCACTAGAAGGTCCGGCACTACTCTTAGGGCTGGCCAAGGTGCAAGGATTAGGGCTTTCGGCAGGTTGCGGGGCTACCCTATCAACCGAAACCTTGGTTCCTTCGACCGTTACATTAACGCATACACTCGGCGTCACCTCGTTGCACGACGCTGCTGCCTCATTCGCCTTCTCTTTTTCTGGCCTGCTTCCGCGGCACAAGAAGATACCACACAGCACTGCAATGATAACGCATTGGCTCAAAACGAAACTCATCATGGGATGCTCTGCAAGGAAATCAGCAATCAAGAAAATCGCATACAGCAACTGTTCAAGAAAATTCCAAAACATCTCCCCGTAACCATGCTCGCCAGTCCCCTGGCTCAAGGCGTCATCGTCATGCGTATTGGGCTCATCATCGGCACTGGCGACAGAATCTGCTTGCAAAGCCAATGCAAGGATCTGAAGCACAAGCTGCGGGTTAACTGCTCCTCGCTTCACAACACGACTCACATGATGTCGCGTCCTGTGATCAAGCAAGTGGGCGTTCCCAACCAAAGCATAGCCGCAGTCCTTGTCGCGAACATTCAAACGTGCAAGGATGAACTCAACTCTGTCCGGCTTTAGCGGCTTCGTGGGAAGGCCAGCAACATTCTCTGCGGTTCCAACCGGTGAAATGTCCAGCATCTTTTCCTGAGTCATCTGCTGAAGCCATAACAGCTTTCCGTCGATGTGGCGAGTCCGTCCGACTCCTTGGCGATTCCCAAGCGACCTAGCTGCTGCATTGTCACACAAGCATGTTAGCGAAATATGCAGTTCCGGGCACAAGTGTGTGACGCAATTCTTAAGGAGGATGGCAGTTGCCGCACCGGCAACAAGGGAGTTGTACTCAGCCTCGCACGAAGAAAGACTGATCACTTTCTGTGTTTGGCTGCTCGAGTGGAGCAGTTGCCCGTCCCAAAGAATGCAACATGCAGATACCGACTTGCGAGTCTTCTTATCCCCCGACCAGTCACTGTCTGAGAACATTTCGAGGGTAGAAGTTTTCTGCTCAGACATACGATTGCAGACCAGTCCTTGCCCAAGCTGAGGTTTTGGCAAACCCAGCACATGTGACTTATGGCAATTCACATAGGCAGTCAGATGCCTCAGTAGCTTCCAGCAGCCTTCGGTAGGCTTGTGAGCATGTGTGGACAAGAACCGAATCCCAAATTGACACCCCAACAGGTCAGACGCAAGGTACATGGATACCAAGTGCTGAGCGATACTTTGATGCTGACTCTGCGTTCAGCTCACGATCCGATGCAAGGTCTGTAGGCAGGCCTCCAGTCGGGAACGGGGCCGCCTTGTACCGCTCCTTGGCACCATCTAGTCCAGTGATCTTCAAGAGTTTCTCAAGATATTTGATATCAGGCTCAACAACCAGCAAATTGGGGCTGACTAGAGTCGCCGCTTCAAGAAGGAAACCTCGTCGCCTACTTGGCGGATCCATTCACTGGACACCTTGAACTTTGACTTCAAGTGATTCTCAAGCTCCTGAAGGCGTGCAGTCAATCCTGCTGCAAGCATGTCGTCTACATGCACCATTCCACCTCCTTGGCACATGTGGTTGCCTTCCGCATGTGGGATGCGAAACAACACTGGCTGCTCTGCCAATGGCTCAGCAGCAACAGCTGCTCGGATTTCACACATAAAATCTTGAAACCAGGTAGCAGATCCGTCCCGTTGCCCAGGCAGCATTCGGAAAAGTTTATACCATTTTCCATCAACTTTTGTCAAAGTATCATGCTGTTGCTTGCACTGCAAGAAAGCGTCAGACATATCAAGACTCAGTAGGGACCAACCGTCCCCAAAGTTGCGAATGAAAAGCGATGGAACGATTCTCAGCATGCACTGGGTCGTCGTCGGTGCAAACAAGTGTTGCCTGCCCGGATCTAGATGCGCAAACTCTCGCGCCACCAACCTGGCTCTGCGCAACCAAACGCGCTCCTGATTGATCACTTTAAGCCTCCAGGTGCGAACGTACTTTGAAGACAATGTCCGATGCCCTTCAAGCCAGGACTCACTTTGTTCAAGAACACCGGCTTTTGTCAACCGCTCAAGCTCAAAGGAATCTGCTGCAGCATCAATGGCTTCAAGCTCGGATGCATCGCACACTGGCTCAGTTTCACTGAAAGGCTTAATCAAAATACTCGGGATGTCGGGCGCATTGGCTGAGTCATCAGCCCAATCCTCGGTGTCCCAAATGGACTCATCCTGACAGTCAAGAAACTGCTCTGCACTTTCATCAAGAAGCTCTGGAGCCTCATCATGATGGAACATCTCACAGTCATATGCACTTGTCTGAACAGCATCAAGACGAAGTTTCTTTCGGGCTGGAGCTTCCCCGCCTGCTTCCTCAGTCGCAGGCCGTGCTATCCCAGAGGACGAAGAAGCAATCCCAGGCCCATCATCAAACGACACAAGTGGCGAGGCCGTTTCAACTTGCATCGGAGTCTCTGCTTGCTGCCCTGGAGTGGCTGCTACAGGCGTGGGAGGCTCAGGTGAATGCAACACTGGCTCTCGTGGCAGCGGTGGCACAAACTCTTGCAACATTGCATCGTCGGGCAACAAATGACCCGGAAACGGCAAAGGATTCTCCGCAGCACCCGCTTGTGAAGGCACTTCGGCTTGCTGCTCAACCTGAGGCTCGGTTCCGGCATCCTCATCACCCTGCAGCGTTTTCTGCTTACGTGCTTGACCAACTTGGCCTGCAAGAAAAGACGCTTGGCTCCACGGCATGTCGCGCAGCTTGGCAAACAAGGATGAATCATATTGCGTTGGCAACCGCCTAACGGACCTTGAGGACAGCATGAATCCTCCCTCGGTGACTCCAAAGTGTAGGTCCGACACAGGAAGTTTTCCTAGCCAAAGCATTTTGCACCAGCGTGCTTTTCCTTTGACACTGCTCTTGACTCTTGCGTAAACTTAAACATTTTCTCCAAAAAAAACTAGTTTCCCTGCATATGGCCGGCCATTGATCACTTGAAACGCACTGAGGTCGTTGTGCCGCGACATTCGCATGTGAAGCCATGCCGCGTGTCTCCAAGCATAGCCGTGCATTGGGTGCATTGCACCTACAGTTGTCTGGGCACGCTCCTCAAACTGGTCAAGAATGCATCCTGCAAGCTGCCGAATGCTATCAATGGCTTGTTCCGAAGCGTTTGACTGGTGATCACCTGGCTCGGTCTGTTCTAAGTGGGTGCGCAACCCCATCTTGGTCCTAAAAGCTTTGATGCCCTGCTGAAGTGCTAAGCAAGCTGGCTCACCGTCAGACCTGATCGTGACGGACTCATGCCCACAGTAATTCAAGAACCGACAAACTTCGGCAACAAGATACTTGAACGCAATCGGTCCGCCCTTGGCTGGCGTTGGCACAGCATGCATCGCTCCCGTGTGGGAGTCCTTGATCACAAGGCAAACAAGCTTGTCCTTTGATGCACCTTCAAACTCAGCTGGGCTGCTCCGTCCTGTATAAGCAAAATCGAAGCTGCATACGGAATCGTCCCGCAGCTCGGGTTTGCTCGACACATGTTTGTCGGCTTTGGCGCGGAACTTCACACAGTGTGGGCACCAATCGGCATATGGCACATGACTGAGCTCGTGCCGTCGCTTCTGCTCTGCAGTTGGCTCTTCGACAAACTTTTGTTCAAGCGGCAATGGCACACCATCAGTCTGGAAAGCATGTTGTTGCAGCAACTCCTGGGTTTTCAAGTGCTGCTCGATCCTCGCAAAGACCGTGTGCTTTCCTCCGGACTTGCCTATTCCAAGAACCTCACAGGCCGACCTTAGGGTCTTAAGGGTACACCCGGGATGCAATTCAACCCCATTGACCACAACATGACCCTGCGAAGGAACTTCGGCGGGAGACACGGGTCCTACACCGCTACCGTCATCAACATCCTCAGCCTTTTCATCCTCCTCAATCATGTTTTCATCAGGCGGTGCATCAGCATACTCGCCATCATAACTGTCATCGTTCCACGCTACAGGCTGATGATCAAACAGCTTTTCTACTTGCAAGGGATGAACAGAGCCAATGGTGATGATGTGGCGGGACCCTTTAGGCTCAAACTCCTTCTCAAGATCATCGAAGAGGCTGATCAAGCAGTTGATTTCAATCAGTTTCCATTCGGCACCATCGTACTGAAGAGTCGTGCGGAAGCCCCATTGCATGGTGGGTCAAAGGCACTGACACATCAAGAAACCGATCCGACTGATCTTGCCTAGCAAAGATTCCAGGCTGCATCTCGGTGTATTGGCTACCCAGGTTCAGCCATGCACTGCCAAGCTTAAGCGCACGAACCGCAGCCGCATCAGGGCCGTCTGCTTCAGCACTCTGGGGCACCTCGACCTGCTGGTCATTGCCGTGCACCTGCTCATCATCAAGCTCGGCTTCCTGGGGCTCGTGGTGTCGGGCTGCATCGTCCTCTCTGTCATCGCTCAAACAGTCGTTGGCACACATTACCACGCTCATGATGGAGCCTCTTGCATGCAAGGAATTATGCCGGTAGTGCATAGGTACACGCACTGTGCCCCCAGGATTTGTCAAGTAAGGAACACCGTCATGGTGGATGATGTCCCATCCCCGCCTGAGCAACTTGCCGACACTGAAAAGCGGCTGTGTCACACTGCTCAACAGCCACCGCTCCTTGAATTGAACACCATCAATCTGAAGCACTGCCGTACGCATTTGCGAACCCCTAATCATGCGACCCTGGGCATCCCTGAAATTATCAAGGCTCGCTCCATCAGCCCTTCCGACGTGTGCCCAGGACAGCGGCAAGCATGAGGCATCCGACCCAGAGTCGACCACAACCTCAATCTCGTTGCTCATGTCTGCCCATGACACTGCACACACACTGAGGTCCTGAAGTGGATGCACAGGTGGGGTCACAAGGTGCTCAGCGGCGGTTTCGCATGGATGCAACATCGGCTCGCACTGCAGTGGCGGCCGTGATCGCCTACTTGGCCTTGCACGGTTGCGGGCTGGCGCCTTGCACTTCACATACTCAGAATCACGTGCACTGCTCAACCAACCAACACATGTGGCTCCATGCATCTCATCTGGCACTGTCCAGACACAGTCACTGTCCGAATATGACATGTCGAACACTTCAGTCTCGGGCACTGGCACAAGAACATGTGGCTTCAAAGGGTCAATGCATGCAGACGCCAAAGACTTACACAGTGAAGCAAAACTCGGCTGTGCAGCTGGGTCCTCAGGGCACACTTTTGTCAAAACACACACGTGGCCGCTGCTCTCTGCATCGTCCTGAAACGCACTGGAAGTCATGTCTATCTCAACTCTAGCAACACGCTTCGCGGTGGTAGCAGTGCTGCCGGCGACCTGCGATGCTGAAGGACCAACTGTGCTAGGCGCTCCAACGGTGGACGCTGTCTCTGAACCCTGTGCCTGGACTTGCTGCACACGAGGACGCCAGCACTCACTAGCATAATGACCCTTGCGCTGGCAATTGTGGCAAACTACATTTGCACGGGAGCCCTTGGCACCAGGATTCTGCGGCTGCTGTCCACCTTTGCCTTTATGCTCTTTGCCCTTGTTCTTGCCCTTTTGCTTGCCTTCTTTGGCCTTGCCCTTGCCACCGTAAGGAACATGCGGTTGCTGTCCACCTTTGCCTTTATGCTCTTTGCCCTTCTTGCCCTTGCCCTTTGGCCCTTTTCTTTGAAGTGCATCAACCTCCATCGGGACTGGGCCTTGCTCGACAGCACTGGGCAAAGGCACTACACCAAGAGCTTGGTGCATTTTAGCCGGGGTCCATGACGTTGTCGTGACTTCGTACCCCAGAACGTAGTCCCTGATGCTCTGGTAACTACTGGAGTCTGTCATCTGAAGTTGTACGTGCTGTTTTATCGCAGATGGCAGGGACCGAACTAGGGTGCCAAGCATGACCTCTTCCCCAGGATATTGTCCAGTGACCCGTTGATATTCTTCAGCGATTCTCTCGAGTCCTTGGATGTGTTCTCGCAGGCTTCGATCTTTCCCAAAGCTCGGAAGAGTCATAAGAGCGTTAAGAAGTGCAAGTCCACGGAATTTTGATTTGGGTGCGAAAGTGTTAGTGAGAATCCGCCAGACTTCAAGGCCGTTTCTGTTGCCGACCTGACGCAAAATTGCCTTCGGCTTCGAACGCAGAATGCTTGCCAGGATAGCGTAGAGCCTCTGAGACCTTGCAATACGATCGGGCGATGCCCCAGTCAGATCAACAGGGCCCTGCAAGTTATCCTCCACAAGCTTCAAGTCCTGTTCGAACTGACTTTCTGCAAACACTAGTCACTAGCCATGTCCTGAATGAGTGGCTCCATTCAGACCAATTTGCAAGGTCGTTGTCGTGAACTCCAGACCCAAATTCCGACGGGCGATTGAGGATCTTATTCGCATCTGAAAATCCTGAGGTCAAATTGCTCGAGGGCCGGGCAACGGCTGCTTGAGCAGCCTGCGACGCTGCTTGCGCCGTCTCAACCATCTGTGCCATAAGCAATTGCATCTGTGTCATGTCAATTTGCACTAGCTGCGGCACTGGCTGCTGTGCTTGCCCACCTGGCGAGAACGGGTTCTGAGCCACTGGCGGCTCAACTCCTGCGCTCCCTAGGGGCTGCTGGGGCAACTGGGGCCCCTGATGAACATTCTGCCCTTGAGGGTCCATCTCTTCTCTGTCTGATCAAGAAATCAAGGAAATTAATCCAACTCAATCACAGAATCCTGCTGTTGCAATCGACGCTTGAATGCACGCTTTGGCACTGCTGAAGAACTTGGCAGCTCACAATCAGCACTTGCTCTCAAAAGCTCCTGCAACTCAACACTGTTCGCAAAAAGATCGCGCTCGAAGTTAGGGCCTTCCTCGACCGGGTGTAACGAAGCTTGTTGCAACTCCTCTGAAATGCAATTCTCAGCAACGTCTTCAGGTGCGAATGCCTCAAAAACTTCTCTCAAATGCTGTTTCTTCAGACACTTGCTTGCAAACTTCCAAACGCACTCAACGGTATGCAGCTATTCCAGTCTCTGCTCAAAGGCTACCCTATAGGTTGATAAGATCTTATCCCAAGAAGAACCAGACCTGCCCTCGGGACGGGGCCGTTCACAAAGCTGCTCAACGTAAAGGCTGTGCAACCTTTCCTTCACTTCCTCTACTGCAGCAAGAGAAGCCGTGCCAGCCTCGGGCCTTGCCCTGTCTGAGCAACGCAATGGCTCGTCCGGTCGGCGCCGGGATTGCGATCCTACCTAGATCTTAAACAGAAACAGAAATCCCCAAAGGTCCAGGACAAACTTTCCAAAGCCTGAGCTCCCCGAACGCACACCGCAAAGCAATGAGCCGGAAACCCAAGACTTGAAATTTCGGGGAACCCCTTGGGTGTCCCTTCGTGTCTCGAAGCTTGGGCTGTCCCAAGCTCCGCTACCATGAAAATGTTTTGAATCCTCAAAGACGCCTGCGGAGTATAGCGCAATCACAATGTGAAACACATGAGTGCATGAAATACGATAAAGCAAATCATGATAAATTGCATGGGGTTTCCTAGGAGGCAAAATAATAAACAGTATGAGTGCCGGAACGAAGACACAGCGTCTTCGCTATATCACTGAACACCTCAAGGCAAAGAAGTTTCGCCTCGCCGCCTCCAGTGTCAAGTGTTCGGTTCTCAGCTCCATCGTTTCAAAGATGGTGGGTATGATTTAGGACATTGATGCGGACACCAACATGAGCATGGATAAGTTTTTCGAGACTGTCTCGAACAAGGACTTGGCAAAGTTGATCGCATCCTTGGGCACCAACAACAATCCGGAACACCGGATCAAGCAACTCATGGACAGCTGTTTGCCTTATGTGGAAAACCAGCTCGGCGAGGTCAGAGTTCTCGAGATGTCGTGCCACATGTTGGTTCGCCGTTCGATTGAGTATGCCCTTATGTCCTCCTATGGCACGGACACAGGCGAGATTTCATGGACGGCTTTGATGGAATACATGTCGGGGTTGCCATCGCAGCGAGGCCCCCCAACCGCGAATGCAGCCACCGGCTTTGATGACAACTTAGGCGGGGGCGGTGGTGATGACGATGTGGACATGGGCGGTGATGATGCACCCAAGAAGAAGAAGAAGGACACAGGGGATAATGATGATGAGGAAGATGATGAGTTGCTCCCCGACCTCGAGACATTGGATATCAAGAGTGCATCCAGTAAGCGAGGACGCGGACGCCCTCCCAAGAGCGCTTCCTGAACAGTTCAAGCAGAAGCAGGACGGTGTTTAATGTAAATCAGTTGTATCTTATCATGTGTCTACTCATTTCGCTTTGTGTGAGGAGAGCTGATGCCAGAACGCCGAAGACACAGCACAGCTTCGCAGTTCGCCTCTCCGACAAAACAAAGGCTGATCGACAAGGGTTCAATTTTAGATGATAAAAAATATTTTTCAAAGAATATATTTGATAATATAAATATTTCTTTAGATAAAAATATATTTGTATTATTTTATTTTTTATGTTGTATCTTTATGTTCTTAAAGCGCTTGTCTGTATCCCTAACGGATGCTTCTATGGTAGGTTTATTCCATAAAATATGTTTAGCCCAAAACCCCGCACTGTTATAATCCTTCCAATTCTGATTAACACTGTGTCTCGCTATATATTTCTGTTTTCGTTCCTCGTCCTTGTGTTTAGTATAGTCGCTATACCCCGTTGCCCCGAACGATACTGTTTTCTTACCGTCTATAACTGCGTCGTATTTCTTACCTTTTTTATTTGACTTAGAAATAACAACATTTGTCATATAATATATTTTATATTATATATTTGAAAGGAAACAAATATTTCAATAAAGGATAGTAATTTAATGAAATATTTGGACGCTGAACGAAGTTTTATTGTGGTTTAGGGTTTAGGACTTTTAGTTAAACTGTAAAACCCTGAGTGTTCACGCTTTTCCTCTTGAACCAAAGGCGCTGCATAGGTCACACACTATACAACTATACCGTAGCCTGGGCTCACCAAAGGTGTGGGGCGTTCCTATGTACAGAATTCAACACCCTGCCTCGAAGTCCTTGCGCTGTACTTCGCTTCGGTCTGCGGTCGGGCATACCTCCGCTCGTGACTGCATAGGCTTTGCCATTGCAAGTCCTTGGGTTAAACACTCCGTGCAACCCACCTTTTTACCGTCCCCCAATTAGGGAGGTGTGTCAGACCGTCCATGTCCTGACATTCGTACAGTAACAAGTACTTCGTCCTAGTGAAACAACTTCCACACAAACTTCCTGCGTTAGCGCTCTTCCTTCTTTTGCGCTTCCGCTGCTGTATGTTCCGAGGTGAAACTTTTTCAGTCTTGCCTACACTCACTGCTCTGTCTCATACTCGTCCACGATGTAGGGCTTAACGACTTCCGAACAACGTACGCTCCTCCGTGCTGTCTGGCGTACCGGGATCCGCTACTTGCCTCGGGCTTCCAAACAGATCCAATCCTTCTCCTTGGGAGCTTTCTCCAGGCGCTTCATACGTCTGCTGGCATTGTTCACAATACGCTTCATACGAATCCTGACACTCTTGTGACATTACCGTGTTTCCCATTTCTTCCACGGTTACCATCTTTCCACGGAACTCGATCATCTCCGGTTCCTTCTGAATTGGCTCCTGAGTTTCTGGTGAGACGACTCCTTTCAAGGCTTCCATTCCACGAACGTAGTTTTCATCGCTTATCTCCGAATCCTGCGTGGTTCTTCCAGATGTGATTCTTCCACCACGTCGGTAGTCTTCCTCACTTATGATGGGCATACGGGTCCCGTCCGTATGTACAATTGCTGGCGTTCCCATCGCTGCTCTTCCACGTCTCTTCAGGGATCCTTTCCCTGTGCTACTTTTCTGAACTCCTGCATTCCATTCATGCATTGTCTCTCTCGATCCACGGGGTTCATCCGATCTCTTTCCAGTAGCTTCTTCAGCTTTCTTTCCAGTAGCTTCTTCTGCTTTGGTACGGTCGTAACTCTTTCGCCATTGGGCAGTCGCATATTCATTGATACACGGTGTACAGGCGCATTTCTGGTGATTCTCTTTCTCCCTTGTACACTTCCTGATTCCGCACCAGTAGCATAGCTTCGTGCATCCTCCGATAGACTCCACTTCGTACTCAAGGTCCATTACCTCCCAGTCGCTTTCGTCTGGGATCGGTGGCTCTACACGTCCACGGCGTTTTCGCATGCTACCTTCCGGCTTCGTCTCCGGAAAACAAACCCAACAGTGTCTGTAGCCCTCCGCTACAGCTTCACTTTCTTCTTTCCAGATCCATTTGCCAGAACGCATACATATGGCTTCCTTGAACGTGCCAACATGTTCCCTTGTGAAACACACGTGCCTTTGACCCTGTCGATATTTTCACCACACCGACTCCTTTGATCTGGTCCACAGTGCGCATACACTTCTTCCACATACTGATGGCGTACGGGGCTGCGAGTAGCATTACGCATACGATCATACAGACCTCGAATTTCGTGAATCCATCCACGGCGTCCATACCTTTTCCAAAGGCTCCACTGGCTTCTGCTCGGGCGTCCACTACGTCCTCCTTGAGCATTGCTGCGGTAATCGGCTTCATCAAATGAAATACCTGTATTGCCCTGATGAGGTTCTTGATTTGTCCACTTCCGACATACTCCTTCAACCTCTTTTCCTGTTCATGCTTTTCGTACTCTTTCTCTCCAGTGTACT